CGCCGCTTTAAGCAATATTCCAGCAATATCACGGCGGGGGACACCGGAAATGGGCTTCACACATTGTACCCATGTCGGGAATCGAACCCGGGTCTTCGGCGTGACGAGCGAACGCTTTAACCATTAGGCTCCCCGACCGCCCCGATATATAGCGGATATATAGAGGGACTGACAATCAATACTGGGGTGTCTGGGGTTTGTGTTAGAGGCATTATATATTTCGGCTTCGTGCCTCAAGACATTCATTATCTTCTCCATAACGAGGAGGCGATATTTTTATTATCAATATTTTTTATGGTTTTTTTGTAACTGTCCATTTTTTCGTCAGGACATTCATCCAACATTTTTAATGGACTCGTGGACTAGCCACACTCTGCATTTATTCACCTGTTGGAGTATGCTTGTGTCTTCACTCTGTTCAAATACAGCCATCTACAAACAAGCATGAGCAAACATGGCTGGTCGCCAACAACTGTACGACAAATCTAGGTGCACAATTAACCCCTTTGTTAAGTTTACTTTTGTAGGCTGCAAAGCGCGCACTGGGTCACGTTGTTTACTTATTAAATCGATATTGCAATGAAATATGAAAGCAAATTAAACATCATGACATGTCTTTTTAGCAGTAAAGATACACAAAAAGGGGAGGGGTTAACGTCGCGTTTAAGAGTATTGCACGTGCATAGCGATGTGCTCGCGAGTGCGTGTGTGTGTGTGGTGAGAGAGGGGGAGGGAGGGATAAAGTGCGCGCGCGCGCGTGTGTGTGTGGCTGTTTATGCTAAGTCCGGATTAATGTCGATTCTATGGTGCTAGCCCATGAGACACCCTGCGGCAGTTTAATATGAACACCCCCATCGTAATGGAAGCAATCATGGAAATGAATAAAAGCGGAGAACAATGTCATAGTCATTTTTTATGTTGTTTTATTAATCCATCATTTTAATTTGGGCACACAAATGATCATAGAAATGCACAATTTATGAATAACAATATGAAATATGTAAATTCACAATATGAATTTCATATAATTGTGTCATAGTCACCGTCAAATTCACAGACATGAAAGTTACCAAAAACAAAGTCAACTTTTTTGATAACTAAATCAAATGTCCCTCAGACCTAGGAACTGTAATGGAGTCTTCGTCCAGTCTGGAGGAGCTCTCTTAGTCTCACAAGCCTGGAGTCAAGTTCACGATGAACAGGCTTACGACTCTTGGGAAGGGCACCGAGATCAAGTTGGGCACGTCTTGCCTTGTTCACAGCTTCAATGTTCTTGATGTTGGTCACAAAGAGGTAGATGTTTAAGTGGGAATTGGCGATACGGTTCTTGAATTTTCTGTGCCATCAAGTGATTGTTGGTCCTGGGACCAATGTTGCCATACTGCGTCTAGATACTGTACTGTGTGCAGGAAAGCGTGCGCCGTGGTACACCCTTGTCAAGTGATGTAGTGGTTGAAGTTGGCTATCTACTCAGAGTCAGGACCTCCTTCCATAGCTGCAGCCAGGTGTCTTGGACGTGGTCAAGCCGAAGGAGATGAAGGGCAGCTGCTCTTCTCACATTGGCTTGGACTTGTGGCATCTCCTTCAGTCAGTGACTGGTCCTTTCTCGGCTACATTCCCCCACACGGCCTGGTGAAGTCGAAAAAACATCCTCGTACCTCAGCATCTGGATAAACATCTTCAACTGCCCTGATAGCCGACGCCTCAAAGTCTGTCTGAATCTCATCAGGCGAAACTCCAACCCTAACCCTTACCACTTCATTCAGCAATGTACCTGTGAAGATCCGGGGTAGAATAGATCATCAGCAACCCATGCTTGTCTTAAGAGGCGACTAACGGGATCTGGTGGTCAGGCTCGCTGACTTGGTTGATACATGTCTTCGTATCCCAATTATCCTAAGTTTCTTATTCATTATGATACCCCTCTATCATTTTAGAATGTATAAATGTATTTGGATATAGGATATAGGATATAGGTATTTCACTTCAGGTAATTACATGATGCTTATCAGGGATCTTCCATTATTCTGAGATATAATGTCTTCCACTTCACGTAATTAGGGGGCACGGGTGGGCCAGTCGTCTAAGGCGCCGCGATTCGCTGTGCAGAGTTGCGTCCCTTGGGCCTGCCAGAAACCTATGATTGTGGGTTCGAATCCCGGTTCGCCCCGATTATGTTTCTAGGTTTGTTAGCACCATACCCGTGCTCGTGGGTTTCACCGAAGTGGTAAACGTCTGAGACCTGAATCACTTCGGGCTTTCCTCCCACACTAAGCTGACACGCCGTGATATAACTGGAATACTGTTAAAAGCGGCGCTAAACCCAACACTCACTCACGTAATTAATGATACTATTAAAACGAGTGTTGGGGAATCAGCTCGCTAAGCAGAGGTGCAACTGCACACGACCAACCCACACAACAACACAAGGCCTGAGTGAATAAACAGTCAGTTTATTAGACAGCCACATAAATTATATATACGTGTGTATATATAATCAGTCAACAATAGAATGTTTACACTCAATTATTAGAGATTTACAATCAGCTATAGAAGTACATATATGTGAAGAACATTACATCAACACACTCTAACTAAAATATTCCCCGAGTGGGTATTCCCACAAGATACAGTCAGTTAAGCCACAATACATATACCAAACGGTAAACAACGTAATACGGTTAACATAATTGGCATAACTATACACAGAAGTAGTAGATGGGAATATCTAAGATATACACTCAAGAATGACACTTTACCAATAGCCAATTAAACTTGCAGGTATTGCCAAGGGTAATAGCTTATAGTTAAGATTTAACATAGTACAAGATACCTGAGTGAATAAACAATCAGTTTATCAGATACCTGAGTGAATAAACAGTCTGTTTATCAGACAGCTACAGAATGATTTGTGACTGTCTGTCGTCCGTATTTATACCTTATTCTTGTTACTACAGATAATTTCATTTACTGATTAAGCTGACGATAAAGTTGTTATTGCGAACTTAACTAGACAGAATTATATAATTTAGTTTGATGCTGAAGGTGTTAATGAGTGAAGTTTAGTAAGAATAATAGTTTACCAGTTGCAAGTATGCAACGAATGTACACGTGGTACGGGTGATTTGATGAGGGTGGATGATAAACAGCTGTAGATACAGATATAGATATTAACGTCTTACATTTGTTTTCCTATCTCCCTCAGCACCAGGAAAGATGCGGGTCCTATCCCATATGCGTCATCTGGTTAACCCTCGGCAGTCTAAAGATAATGGAACGTGGTCGTTAGTCTAATATTCCCTTATTTCACAATTTCAATATGTGGCATTTAACGTGATAAAATATTTGTCAAACATTGTTCATTTACCCATGTTATTAATACGTACAGCTATCAGGGATGTTCCATTAACCTGAGACATAATGTCTTCCACTTCACGTAATTAATGATACAGCTATCAGGGGTGATATTATCATACGAGGGGAGTAAATAATATCCCATTGTGCCTGCACTACGTTCTGTAGGCACATTGGGGCTGAAGGCACAATGGGATGCAACCGAAAGATCGTTTAAGCTCATTTTTGAGATACCGAAATCAGATATGCTGGTCGGAATAGTTCGCTCACTCGAGAATTTAAAAGCCTCGTTGCTGATTGGGTGATTAGATAGTTTACCGTACTCGACTTCCATGAAGGTATCGTCAGATCGTCACGCAGATAGGTATCGCATCGAAGTGAAAGACTTGGTTTTAAATTGGATCGAGCGAAAGTGAATCTCATTCTGTGTTCTGATCGATACACACTTATAATGTTTTGACATTGACCAGTCGTTAGCAGGTGTGGGGATGCCAACATAGACACTTACCTGTAATGTAACACCTGTGTGGATGTACATCACTGTTTGCCAAGTCCCACTGTAGACACACTCCGAGCGGTCTATCAGCAACACGTGCAAGATCCCGTTGTTTCCCACCATGTGCAAGGCAAGCTCTAAGGTAAGGTACAGTCTGAGGCATTTCACCTTTGGCAGTAAGGTCGTGGGTGCAAGGAATGTGTTGATGGTTCGTAATACAGTAAAACCCCTTTAACAAGGACAGGTTTTAATCATTTTGAAGTCTAGGTTGATCATTGGCAAAACCCCGGGGCAGCGTTTCACAAAGAGATCTTAGCTCTATGACCATCTTAAGCATGTTTTAAAGTAAAGGTGACATGACAGCCATTGCGCGAAGATCGCTTTGTGAAACGTAGCTGCGGCAACTGTATCTCTGTGCTGTTCCTATAAAAGATTTTGTTTTTGACTCGTCGTTACACAGAGCTGTTCCATAGTGTTTTCCTAACAGATTCCCGATCCGGAACATACCACATGCACAACCCTGTCGTAATGTACATGACTCGTAATCCCACGAAAACGCTGCCTTAAACACTTGCCTTCAAATATGGGTACTTATATTCTGGATCAACATATTTCTATGTTGTTATCGGTTTATAAACATCGTGAGGGTTCAAATGTTTGCCCGCCATTTCCAAGAGCAATGGGGGATAAAATAATCGTTATCGGTCAGGTTTCCAACTCGATAAGCAAATATCAAAGGATAGATCGATAAACCGAGAAAGAAATACTACATTCTGAGATGATTTTTTAACAGATGATGACTGTAAATCCTAATGTGTCCCTCAGCTCATTATTATCTAATGTTGCAAGCAGCAGTATACACAGGACACTTAATAATAGTTTCATGGTGACATGTCAGGTTTGTTGTTTTCCATCACAACACAGTAGGCATCATCCGGACAATCTTAATATTCGATAGTCGATATTTGTGCTGCCATAAGTATATTGTATGTTTTCCTTTCTCATTTCATTTGGAATAATGACATATAAAATATAAAATATAGTCTTTCCGTGATTGGTTATGGTTAACCTTTACGGTTTGGTAGTTCATTTGATGGACCCAGCAATATCATATCTCTGTGTAAGGATTTTTATGGAGCTTTAGAGCCCAGTATAAAAGAGGAATGGACATGTCTTCAGGTTTTAGAGTTAAGTCAAAAGTTCATAGTACTGATGAGTGGTTTGGGCAGATTTCTTCCTCAGTTAACATACTGGCATTTCATTATTGTATATGTCACTTATACCAGGTTCTTTGATCAAACAATTAATGTAGTGATTTATATAATTAAATATTACATATGGCCTTGTCAGTTGGAACAACTACAACCGTTTCATGTAGGCTAGCCAGACTTTGAATGACAGCTGTTTGGGAAATACAGGTTTATTTCAGTTCTGTTTGCCCTTTTTTCAGTTTTGCATTCTTCCAGTGACCCCATCACATCACGCCCTGACTCAACCCACCCTGAAAGAGTCAACAGGCTCATCTTCTTTGTTGCGCTATTAAGGGTGTACCTTTTGACAGCATCGATCCATAAAGATTTGGGAGTTGGGATCCCAATTGGATATTTTGGTCCATATTCCGTGAATAACTGACAAAGGTTGTCACTATCAACAATAGAAAATGAATGCATGAGTATTCCTTCATCAGCAATTACCTCTATTCGTGGCGATCAACAAAAGAGAGGTCATCGCTGATTATATGACCGACAGGCTGGTTGCAGCATGATGAGTCTTGGCAGCCCCAGATAGTGGAATTTACATTATGGCAGTCAACGTTCTGTTACAGATTCCTGTAATTAAACAATAAAGAAATTTGTCCAAACTAACTTACAAGCAGCCACGCACATACACGCGCGTACGTGCAGGTCGCTATATAAGTGCAATAATCTTGGACGCGACGTTAAAACCCAATTTCACCTCACCGCTATAGAAGTGCACTAATCAACAATATTCCATACGTAGGTTGTACCTTTTTCCATTTAAGTTAAAGGTTTTGGTTGAGTTTCTTAAAAGGGGGTATAGATAGTTCGTGAATTCCTCTTTTTGTTTCAGAAAGGGAAACAACTACACAGCGAATACTAACTCCCCGGAGAAAGGACTAGAATAAAGAACTGATCACATCAGACATCGTTTGAACTCTACCAACTGTCGTGTTTAAAGGCTTTTGTGAATATGAGTTTATTGGGGTTTGTAAATATGTGGAGTTTAATTAGATTTATAATTATGTGGAGATTATCGATTTTGGTAAATAGCAATGTGTTTAAGCTTTCCCAGGGCTGTAGGAGGAATATATGTTGTCTTCTTCACGTTCCCGCGAGTTTGCAACATTGTTCATGAAATTCGTTTTTTTTATAAATTATTTTATTATATTGTGAAATCATAAATTTAAACCATTAATGACTTCTTGCTTGTCTTCGGAACTATTTTCTACCACACAAGACTCAATTTAACCTCATGACTTGGCACATTTTGAAAACGTCGAGCTGGCTCGAGTGGCAATATGGACAGGTCTCCAATGACGGCACGGTGAGTGCACAGCCATAAGAAAGTGGGACGAAGGCAACAGAGTAGGGGCGTGGCCGGGAGGGTACGACCATCCATAGTTGGAGACTGGTGCCCCAAGGCATTATGACGGGACGCTAGTGGTGGTTATTGGAAACATTGGAAGTAAGCAGTAAAGCTACCGAGCACTTTATCACATCTGTGGAGATTTACTCTGCTGCAGAATCCTTTGAGTGGCAAAATGAGGCATTCATTCATTCATTGAAAAATACTCGCGTGCACACAACGCGAACACTCCAGTTAATGTTGAAAAAATGATAGATTTGGGCAAGTCTGGGCTGTAACCAATACCGCAAGTTGAGGATAAATGTGTTCATGAGTTCTAATCTAATCTACTCCACACTGATAATAGTTTGGTTTTTTTCCAGCAGCCTATGTTTCAGACGGCTCGGTCGGTATTTCTCCTTGTTCCTCATCCTAGGGGTCCTGCTGCTGGTGACCCAACTCTGTACAATAGGTACGTGACGGGTGCTCGTGGCCTGACTATACAATAAATACGTGACTGGTACTCGTGGCCTGACTATACAATAAATACGTGACGGGTGCTCGTGGCCTGACTATACAATAGATACGTGACGGGTGCTCGTGGCCTGACTATACAATAGGTACGTGACGGGTGCTCGTGGCCCGACTATACAATAGATACGTGACGGGTGCTCATGGCCTGACTCTTTACAATAGGTACGTGACGGGTGCTCGTGGCCTGACTATACAATAGATACGTGACGGGTGCTCATGGCCTGACTCTTTACAATAGGTACGTGACGGGTGCTCGTGGCCTGACTATACAATAAATACGTGACTGGTACTCGTGGCCTGACTATACAATAGATACGTGACGGGTGCTCATGGCCTGACTCTTTACAATAGGTACGTGGCGGGTGCTCGTAGCCCGACTATACAAAAGATACGTGACGGGTGCTCATGGCCAGACTATTTGCAACAGGTACGTGGCGGGTGCTCGTAGCCAGACTGTATGCAATAGGTACGTGACGGATGCTCGTGGTCCGACTATACAATAGGTACGTGATGGGTGCTCGTGGCCTGACTCTATACAATAGTTACGTGACTTGTGCTCGTAGCCCGACTATACAAAAGATACGTGACGGGTGCTCATGGCCAGACTATTTACAACAGGTACGTGGCGGGTGCTCGTAGCCAGACTGTATGCAATAGGTACGTGACGGATGCTCGTGGTCCGACTATACAATAGGTACGTGATGGGTGCTCGTGGCCCGACTCTATACAATAGTTACGTGACTTGTGCTCGTACCCTGACTCTACACAATAAGTACGTGACGGGTGCTCATGGCCCGACTCTACACAATAGGTACGTGACGGGTACTCGTGGCCTGACTCTATACATTAAGTACGTGAGGAGTACTCGTGGCCCGACTAAACAGTAGCTACGTGACTGGTGCTCGTGGCAGACTCTTTACAATAGGTACTCGACGGGTGCTCACCGAGCTTATTCTCACTTGAAATTCCCAAGTGTAGGTACTAGGCTGGTCAGTGCGAAAAGTGTACCCCAGATTTAAGTTTTGCGACGATTTTTTAATGCCAAACGCCCTGTCAGTCTACCATATTAGAGTAATTCTCAACAAATATTACTTTCAGATTACACCCTATCCAAAATCAAACTGGATTCCAATGAACAACGCATATCCCGAATTGGCAAGTCCTGTCGGAAACCTACCGAGGCAAACATGGATCTGATATTCTACAGCAAAGCAGATAACCTGTGTTATTGCGGCACAGCCAAAGCCGGGTGCACCTTCTGGAAACAAGTCATCCGATTCCTGAACCATGATACCGGCGACCAAACATACCAGCACCCACTTGACATACCCAGGGATATCGTACACTGGGGTATGAAACACACAACCCAAACAAACTTTTACAAACTGCAAAAATATTTTTCGAATTACGAACGATTTATGTTTGTAAGGAATCCTTTTACAAGATTGTGGTCGGCTTATATTGATAAGATATTCCTACCAGACCATTGGGGGCATCCATTCGTATCTGGACTAACTTCGGATAAATGTCCTTTAAATGTAACTTTTGAAGACTTCGTCAAAAGGGTTTTGGATACCCCTGTTGGTAAAATGGATACCCATTGGGTACCCATGTCATATTCGTGCGATCCCTGCACATTCCAACCCACATTTCTGGGGAAGATGGAGACATTTGCTGCTGACGTTCGCCACCTTCTCTCCAGACATAACCTGTCCTGGATAGTGGATTCCCACGCATCAAAACACAATGAAGATGAAATGAAAATGCTTATCAGGTATAATTATAATTTATTCGAGCACGACAAAATCCAGGAGTGTATCACCACGAGGGGGTTGGCCCTAAGACTATGGAAGGTGTTTCAGCTAAATGGACATCTGTCTAATGACGAAAATCTCCGCTTGCCAAAACATGGCACGATTACTGAAAAGGAATTTGAAGATCTTACTGTTGGTGCGTCAAAGAGACAAAACATATCTCCAGCTGCTTTAAAGGAACAAAAAAAGTTACATTTAAAACAAGCATATGAATCTCTTTCCTTGACAACAATCACAGCCATTCGCGAGAAATATGCTTCAGATTTTGATATGTTTGGATACGACGAAATTGAATGATGTTTCGATTTACGGATTGCCGATTATTTGATTGACTCAAATTTTGTAGGTGTTAGGTGTTGATTTTAAGTTTGGGATCACCAGACTGAGTTAGTCCAAAGAGATTGTATTGTGCACTAAGTATTTTTATTGTTTTCATTTTGTTCAGATAATGGTTCTGGTACATTCTATTCTGGCTCTCTACAATGAGGATTGCCTGACCCTCAATCTGATTAGTGTCACCTTTGTGTTATATGTCAGTTCATATCTTTAACAATAAATCGCAAGTGATTCCATGGTATTTGATTTGTTTGCGTTTGTTTCCATAAACCTAAAACAAATAGCCCACGCCCACAAACGGGCTACTGTTTCCTGGTTGGCTAATACTAGAGTGGCCGGGTCTCGCACTACAGTTTTGTGCTGAGCGATGTTACTGATTTCGTATCGATGTCTGCAGCTTTTTGTGTTAAAAATGAAACAGACACTCCGGCTAGTTATTACTGTTGAGAGCGCCTCCGTGGTCTAGTGGAAGAGCGTCCGCCCGGAGAGCGGAAGGTCTGGGATTCGATCCCCGACCGCGTCATACCAAAAGACGTTAAAAAATGGTACTTGTTGTTACCCTGTCTGGCGCTCGGCATTAAGGGGCTAAAACAAGGACTGGTCGGCTCGGAGTCAGTATACTGTGTCTGAGTGGGGTATTCATGTTAAACTGCGTCATGGTATCTCAGTGAGCTAGCACTATAAATCGGCATCAGTCCGGACTAGTACAAGCAGCCACATAAACACACACACGTACATACACGTCGCTATATAAGTGCAATAATCTTGGACGCGACGTTAAACCCAATTTCACCTCACCTATTACTGTTGACTCATATTTAAGAATTGAGACCGTCGTGTAGTGGATTGAGTGGAAGGTCGCTTGTTTCATCCCCGGCCCCATCATACCAACAGAGGTTAAAACATGGTACTTGTTACCCTGCCTCACGCTCGTCATTAAGAGGTTAAAACAAGGAGTGGTCGTTTTGGAGTCAGAAACTGTGTCTGAGTTAGGTATTCTTGTTAAACTTCGGCATGGTATTAATTACGTCATTGCGGACAGCAACACCATGACAAACTATATATTTTGGCATTTTAAGCGGAATCTAGTTAGCTAATGATTCTATTTTATATGTTTGTTTGGTTGTTGTTTAACGCCGCACTCGGCAATATTCCAGCCATATGGTGGCGGTCTGTAAATAATCGAGTCTGGACCAGACAATCCAGTGATTGACATCATGACCATCGATCCACGCAATTGGGATCGATGACATGTATCAACCAAGTCAGCAAGCCTGACCACCCGATACCGTTAGTCTCCTCTTACGACAAGCATAGTCAGGCGCCTTTTACGGCAAGCATGGGTTGCTGATGACCTATTCTACCCCGGATCTTCACAGATCTTCACCATATTATACTGAGTGCGAAATCTGCATCTCCGGAAGCGCTCGATAAATCTCCAACATCATCATTATTCATACATCTCCAGGAACACGCGATGGTGGCGAAATGGCGGCGCTGTAATTCGCTGCGCAGAGTTTCGTGGCTTGGACACCAGAAACCAACGATCATGGTTCGCCCCGATTATTTTTCTAGGTTTGTCAGCACCACTCATGTGCTCGTGGGTTTCAACAAAGTGGTAAACTCTGACACCTGCATCACTTCGGGCTTTCGTCTCGCATTAAGCTGACACGCTGTGATATAACTGGAATAATGTTAACCGAGGCGTTAAACCCAACTCTCTCACACTTCCACTCACTCACAACAATGGCTGGGTCAGATGTATGTTGGATAGATTGGATTTTGAAGTTTGTATGAGTCAGTGTCTAGTTGGCAAGCGCATGCTCAAAATGCATCGCATGCCAGCTTATATGTGGCAGCACATTATATTGGCCTCCCCCTTTGATATCCTTTATTTAAGAAGTAAACGACGATTGGGAGTTGTTTATCGTACAATAAAACACAGCAGGTGGGTATTTCCCGCATATTTTCACAATCTTCACGTCGATTACCTGTACCTTTTCTCCCAATACCGATTGTCATATCTCTCCAGCTTTGGGATGTGATCGTTTGGCCATCTCGTTTATCTGCGTTGCCCAGCTATATATATATATATATATATATATATATATATATATATATATACACACACACACATGTAGAGAGAGAGAGAGAGAGAGAGAGAGAGAGAGGTTATCACGCGAGTGTGTTTGGGGATGGTAAATATCCTGCATTAGGAATAAACATTGTATAAACATAGCGAGCCTCTAAATACATAGTGTTTATTCCTAATACAGGATATTTACAATCCCCAAACACACAAGCGTGATAACCTCTTTATCATATAATGTCATTCTTCAATTCTGTGCTTGAAAATCGCTTCCCCTCACGACAAACAATACCTAAACATTGCGAGTTTTCCTGGAATGCGCGCATTAATGTTTATTACGTCACAGGGTAAGTGATCTGTCAGCCGGACAGTGACAGTAGCCAATATAGTTCCAACTGAAATCTGTTTCTTCTCAGTGGCGAAGAATCATATACGCAAAACAACAATTGTTTTTACTTGCCTTTCGCGGCAATCCATCGGTCTGCCCTATGTCAAAGGGAAGCTACTCTAACCCTAGTCTATGAGACGTCACGGCCACGTTCAGACGTTGTTGACAGTCGGCCTGTCCTGTCATAACGTTAAGAAGTGCAGTCAGATGTATACACAGCGAAAAAACGAAACAAGGCAACAATTCAAACATCTTTCGGCCAAATCCAACTTTTTTATAATTTGTGGAAAAGGTTTCAAGCCGCTTAGGTCTACAAGCACAGATATGGCTACTGATCCCGCTTGGCTCGGCCTAGTGCCCTCGCAAAATTGTTTCGAAATTTATATCTCCAAAGTTGCCAAAACTTATAAAATGCCCTAGTTACGTCACAGTTAGACACTGATTTTCAGTATATTAGACTGTTCTTTTGATAATGATAGCAAATATCCCTGTAGTTTATCCAGATTCCCGATGGTTAATTCTGACTCGATCGCCAAATGACAAGGGCGACGCCATGTTTGTTTATAAACACTGAAAGTAGTCCCTACTTGACCTTTGATATTTGCATCTCTATCCGCATATGACCCCAACGGATATCGTTTTTATCTGTTGGCTTTATCCTGCCGAGAAACCTACCCAATATTTGATAGATAGATATATATAGTAATAATTAAATAAGTTGAGTAAGATTGAACACAGTTTTAATAGGCTAGCGCTTTCAACTCGTATATATATATATATATATATATACACGACGTCATCTAGTTGCGAGCGCATGTTCGAATCTCCAGAAATTACATCATGTTAGAACAATGTTTTATCGTGAAGTAACCACGCTTCGTTCTTCATTGTTCTTTGAGATTTGATTCTTGAAAATATAATTATGCTTCAGACTGTTGATAAAAAGAAGAGCTTGCCTGCCACAAAAAATTACATTGTTGCAATGTGTTTTCTTCCAAACAATATTAAACAGGAACAATGATGCAAGACGCCCAAGTGTGCTTAACGAGACATCTAAACCACTAACCTAGTTTGAAATTGGTATCAGCTCGAAAGCACTTGTAAAATATCTTTAAAGTTTGGTAAAAGGTTAAGCTAAAAGGAAGACATCGAGCGTTCATTCCAAGCGCTGCTTTATCCCCAATTACATTGTCGTGCTATGTTTAGCGTATCTGGGTTTTTCTACGCCTATGCCATTACATACAGTTAAGACACTGGTGTCGTGTGCAGAAAGGGAATGCCTCTGTGACGTATTCGGGTCACGTGTTACTTTAGGTTTTTAAGACTATGAGTGTAGCCCAATGACTTGCTTTAAAATGATGCTGATGCTGATGCTGAGGGGTCGAAAATTAACACACAAAAATGCCATTGAACCATATTTATTTCTAAAGACCATAAAGGATTAAAACAGAGAAAAGTTGGTATTTAAATCACTGTCTGTTACCAAATATCTCATCTGGTCGAGGGTTGTAGTTGAACAAAATAAAATCACGAGTATACTTCATCCTCACTGCGTGCAAAGCTCGTGATGGTAGTGTTTTGTACGCTTCGATCATGAACCGCTTCCTCTGTTTCCGCCACACCTCGGGTGTGTTCGGTCGACTGCGGTACTGATCGAGAACAATTTTGGTAAACTCGGCTGTTGTTGTGGTCCGGAAAAGAGGTGGTGGTTTCACGTTGGCGGGAAGGTAGCCGTTAATCTGGAAAGCTTTCCAAAGGCGCAGAAACAGTCCCACTTTAGATATACATTTCCCAATGTAAGGCTTAACGGCTACAAGCTCAATGTTATAGTTAATCAAAGTGGTGAGCTCTTCTTGCACGTGTGCATCATGGTCATACCCATCCATCATCCAGGACAGATTGGCTCTGTGAAGAATGTAGCTCGAATCTGATGCAAAAGATTCCACTCTACCAACCGCAGAAGGCTGGAATGAACAGGGGTCACACGCCTGATGCATGGCGTCCCAATGTGGCTCCTGGGTTTCCAAAGAGAGGCTAACGAACTCCGGAAACGTGACGTCACTTACACATCGTGATGCGCGAGATGGGTACCTTCTGCTTCGAATTTCAGCCTGAAAATTGCTCCAAAAATCAGGCAAATAGAATTTGTCCACATAAGCCGACCACAGCCTAGCGTACGGTTCACGTACAAACATAAAACTGTTGAATCTTTTTGAAAGTTTTCTATACACGCTGAAGGGCATGAAGGTGTTGGGGTTGGAGTAGGCTGAGCTGTGGGTCTCTATTCTGCGGATGTGTGACGGAGAAGTGACGTTCCTGCCCGCATAGTCCCCGTTCAGAAACCGGATCACTCTCTTCCAGAATGTGCAGCCGCACTTGGGGATGTAACAATACGCCAGCTTCGATGCCATATTTGTCATGATGTCACGGACGGCGTTGTCCGGAGTCCCAAATACGGATAACCTTTGACATTCCTTTTCAACGAGGCTGGTTCTGAAAGCTAAGTCATTTCCAATAGCTGTCAGATTTCTTTCGCGATTTTTTGTAATAATAGGAGACAGTGATTCCGGTGTCGTCTTGTTGTGTCCTTTGTTCAAGTATCGGTCAGAAGCGTCTTCGGTTTGTTTAATGGTGGTGTGGTCAAACAATGAAGGATCCTTGACCTTGACATTGACATTGACCTCTAAGCTCTGAAATCTCATCATTTTCTGAGTAAAGAGGCTCATACGTTCTGTCGTCATCCGCATCGTGAACTGTTGACCTTCGTCATGCTTTGGAACTGAAAACATCTGTTTCATTGTCTCCCAGATCTGGAACCTTTCCACGTGTCCCTGAAAGAATAGATTTGAATTCAGAGCACATTGCTTAAATATGTGTTTTCATATATATATATATATACTACCCATCAAAAGTTTAGACTCACCGGTGTAAATGTAGCCACTCACTATACTCAACTGTTTCAAACCAGATAATGCCAAATATTCTAAACTTTTTACAGGTACTGTTAGCACATGAACTGTTGTGGCGTAAAACCAAATCTGTATCGGTGAAAAGATTAGAGTTTTTCGTTCATTAATTGATAAAACTGTGAAATGTCGCACATTTTTAAACAAAATTCGCACCAAATCGCAGGTGTTCACATGCACGATAATGCACGTGTTTTAGCAGCAATTTGACGCGGGATACTCGTGCAATTCATCTTTATAAGGATTGCAGTTGGCTCTTCTGAGTTAGTGGAGAAATTCTTCTTTGATGCAAGCATGGGTAGAGGGAGAAGTCTCCGTATTGAGCAACGACATCAAGCCTTGGCACTGCTACAAGATGGCAGATCACAACGGTTTGTTGCCAGACGTCTTGGCGTATCCCAATAGGCAGTTTCCAACCTCTGGGTACGCTTTCAACAGACCAACTCCGTCCAGGATCGACCCAGGTCGGGTAGGTCAAGGGTAACATCACAGCAAGATGACCGATGCGTCTTTTTGCTGTTTCTCAGGGGCAGACACATTACAGCCACAGCAGCCAATAATGCTTTCCAACAAGCTACAGGACGACGTGTATCTGTATCAACAATACGCCGCCGATTACGTCACTACGGACTGCGGGCACGTCGTCTAGCTGTAAGACCCCCTCTTACACCACGCCACCGTCAGAACAGACTGAATTGGGGAAATGGACATTTACGCTGGGGTCCCCGCAGATGGGCAAGGGTACTCTTCTCCGACGAATCAAGGTTCAATCTGCATTTCAACGATGGTCGGATCCCAGTCTACAGACGTCAGGGAGAGCGGTACGCTGACGTTGCTGTTGTGGAGCATGATCGATTTGGAGGTGGATCCGTTATCGTCTGGGGAGGTATCACCCTGACTGGAAGAACTGATTTACTGGTACAGGATGGAAATCTGACTGGCCAGAGATACAGGGACGAGATCATCATTCCTATTGTGCTTCCATTCTTAAGGGCCATGCCAGGTCACGCGGTTTTCAAAGATGATAATGCCAGGCCTCACAGAGCTCGCATCGTGTCAGCTTGTTTACAACAAAATGGGGTGAATCGAATGGATTAGCGAGCATTATCGCCCGATATGAACCCCACTGAGCATGTTTGGGATCTGCTGGGACGGCGTGCCAGAGTTCCTCCCCCTGCTAACCTTCGCCAACTTCGCAATGCATTGTTTGAGGAGTGGCAAACATTCCCCAGCGGCAGATTGAACTGTTCTTTCGTGGTATGCAACGTCGATACAATGTCTGTGTTAGAGCCAGGGGTGGTCATACCCGTTATTAAATTTTGCAATTTCACTTTTGTATGGTACTAGCCAATACGGCATTCTGGTTCACTAATCATCAATGCACACGTCCTTGTGAACAAGGATATGAAGACCTAAATGAATGATTTTGTTATTTTTTATCGGTAGCTTTCACAAATACGATTTTCTTACGAGATATAGTGAGTGGTTTCAGTGAGTCTAAACTTTTGATGGGTAGTATATATATATATATATATATATATATATATATATATATATATATATATATATATATATATATTTCAGCGCCGCACAATGATGCTAAACTAGAAAGTATACAACCATGTTTTATGGTGGCTAAATATGATTGCTGTTGTTGTTGTAGGTTGTTTGTTGTTTAACACTGCACGCAGCAATATTCCAGCTCCATGTCGGCGGTATCTATAAATAATCAAGTCTGGACCAGATAATCCAGTGAATGATATCATGAGCATCGATCCACGCAATTGAGATACGATGACATGCTTCAACCAAGTCAGCAATCCTAACCACCCGATCCCGTTAGTCGCCTCTTACAAGCATAGAATCCTTTTCGGACAAGCATAGGTTGCTGAAGACCCTATCTCCACGGGTCGGCTATATATGAAACGTACAAGAAATGGTAATTCGATGATGATGTATTTGATACGGGTATCATGGTTTGTTTTGGGTCTTACGTTTGCAGTGTTTCGGCGACTGGTTTCTGCCTAGTAACGTTTTCATAGCTTTTGTAATTGTTTGGCCAAATCCATATTTTCAAGGGTATGCTTTCCTTTTTCCCGGCAGTTTATATCTCGGAGGACTGTAAATATGATCATGGCTGGACCAGACAAACCAGTGACTTTTGAATAAAATATTAGATAACGTCTGGTCCCACTTGCACAAAACGATCTTAGCGCTAAGACTATTGTAAGCCTATGTTAAAGTATGGGAGTTAGGATCATCTTAGCGCTAAGATCGCTTTGTGCAAGTGGGCCCAGGTCATTATGACACACAAACAACCAAGTCATCGAGCCTGAGCATCCGATTCATTTCATCGACTCTTAAAACGAGTATAGGTTTCTGTGGACCTGATGCATTTTCACCCGGAATCTCCACTGGATGAATTTTCATGCAGACAATGTGTAAATAGTTAGTACATATAACTTATGAGAGAACCATGATTCATTAATCTGGGATTTGTCTCGTCCGGATAAACGGGGTTTCACTGTATTGAACCTGAGTTCCGTCAAACTTGCCCCGATGTTCTGGGTCTGGTTCCTGATATCATTACAATCTGATGTTTTACGACAGCTCTCTGCATGAAGATCTGAAGACACCTCCATGCAAGGTCCCCCGGGGGAACTTTCTAATCAGCCAATCAGCATATCTGATGGCTTTATGTCGAAAATGAATATAATCGATGAGTTCCGAATGCAAAAACATAAAACAGCGCTTTTATGTTAGTGAGTATATTGTATACGCCCTGTCGTTTCTGAACGCCATGTCATCTACATCTAAAGGGTGTACTATCAATGGTATATTTGTGGTCGGTTTTCCAACTCGAGCTGGTGAAAAAATGAAGCCGGATCGTTTTAGAAAGCTGACCTCTGATTGGCTCAAGAACCCACGCATACTTCTTTTGGATTGGGTCGTCCAAAAAAGACGTGAGTTCATATGGATGTTTCCTCAGATCTTGACGCAGAGTTGTATCGTATCGGAGTAAAAGATCTGATATTAATTTAATCATAAAGTCGTAGGTTCCCTGTAACTGATGTTTACCAGTGATGTATTTATTAAATAATAGCTGTAATACCGCTGACTGCCTTTTAAAACAGCATTCACCCAGCACCCCAGTGCTGTTTTTAATGTCGGATACTCACGCCATAGTGGGAAGATGCAGCTCCATGTGTTTCTGAAAATATAGAAACAATTATCGTCACAGCAACATTTGTTCACTCACTGCACACATTAAAATAAGGCATTGGCTCTAAAGGGAATCACCAATTGCCTGTCTTATCTAGCGAGTCCGAAGACATGCTAAAACTTGCATGGAGGTACATTTACTCTCCCTTCATCGCCCTGTCAAGCTCTCAAACGCTAAACCTTGTTAACACATACTGACATTTGTTAGAAACATTGGTTCTAGTGTGTGTGTGTGTGTGTGTGTGTGTGTGTGTGTGTGTGTGTGTGTCTTTAACGACGCACTCACCAATATTCCCGCTATTTGGCGACGGTTTGTTTATATTCGAGTCTGGGCCAGACAATCCAGTGATTAATATCGATCTTCGCAATTGGGATCGATGGACATGCATCAACCAAGTCAGCGAGCCTGACCACCCGATCCCGTTAGTCGCCTCTTACGACAAGCATAGTCGCCTTCTACGGCAAGTATGGGCTGCTGAAGACCTATTCTACCCCGGATCTTCACGGGTCCGTCACGCCATAGACCAGGACTCAATTCCCTACAGGCGTTCAACGTGTGAAACCCATGTCCTCCGCCGTGATATTCCTGCAATACTGCAAAAAGTGAAACCTATACTCCAGCTATATGACGGCCGTCTGTAAATATTCGAGTCTGGACTAAATAATCCATTGATTGATATCATGAGCATTGATCTACGCAAATGGGATACGTTGACATGTATCAACGAAGACAGCGAGCCTGACCACCCGATCCCGTTAGTCGTCTCGTACGACAAGCATAGTCGCCTCTTACTGCAAAGCATGGGTTGTTGAAAACAAATTCTAATTTGGATTTTTCGTATCTAGACGTTCTGAGTAAACAACTGAGGCTCAGGGTGATGGGCTATAGTTTTAATGTGTATTGACGACAATTATATATATTATTATTAAAGCAATTTATGTCGCAGTAGACCTACAGAAAAGTGAGGTCTCTGATCTTCGATATCGATGGGATTCGGTGTACGAGCTGACAAGAGGATCGGATGGTTACAATGTCCAACTTGGCTGAGGACGGCGAAGTGAATCTTTGCTCATACTGTCAACCCCAAGATTGCCTGATCCTGACTCGATTGTTAAAAGCTGAAATATTGGTGACTGAGACGTAAACGATCATACACTTACCATCGTCCCAAAGCATGGGGGTTAAAGGACTATAAAAGTCCAGTTTCCACCTTGCCGAACTGGGCTGGACTAAAAAAGGCAATGCATAGTCCAATCACAATGAAGAACTAGACATCCGGTTCGTAAACATGGATTTCAACGTACAGATTTCGGTCGACTGCGGGATGTACAAAACATGTGTGTCGTCAACTGGGCGTCGACAGATATTTGCAAAATCCTTTCATGTTTTTAATCAAGGTGCTCCTGTGATATGAGGTCAAACTCGTTTTATTACAATAAAAATCTTGACTATCGATCAGATCGACTTGACTGGGTGCAGCTATTTTATTTGATGCAAATGCAAGTGATATGAGAGGTGGAATCTGATTGGTCAATAGGAAGGAGAAAGAAGGTACATAATTCGTAATAGCCACTGGTCGCGCTACAATCGAGCCACGAAATTGCAGCCCAGTTCGGCTAGGGTGGAAACTGGACTTCTATAGTCAGTTAAAGCCCTTGTCTAGGGAAGATGTACACCAGAGACCATATAATAAATCTATTATATGGTCTCTGTGTACACTTACTGATACTGGGAATCAACGCCATACCTTCGCGATTATCTTATAATCTTAATATAGGTTCCCAGCAACATATGCTTGTCCTTAAAGGACTAAATAAATCGGGTGGTCAGACTCGGTAACTTGGTTGATCACGTGTCATCGATTCCCAATTGGATCGATGATCATGACGTCAGTCACTGGATTGTCTGGACCAGACTCGATTATTCACAGACCGCAGCATTCAGCAATATTCCAGCTATATGACGGTGGTCTGTAAATAATCGAGTCTGGACCAGACAAGCCAGTGATTGATATCATGAACATCGATTCACACAATTGGGATACAATAACATTCATCAACCAAGTCACCGAGTCTGACCACCCGATTCCGTAGGTATATCATTAATATCATAAAACCCTCGGACGTGCTCTATCCTACACATAAATACCTTAAACATAAAGAATACCTGATCGTAGAAGCTGCTTCTCGTGCGAACAACATCTACACGACTTGTGAGACATTGGACACAAATCAGTCAGTCTTTAATAATGAACGCGTAGTAAGTATGTTCTGAACGTGCTACTACAACTGCTACTACAAACTCATTAAAATCAGATCTAAGTTATCCCATTATGGGTCACGTCAGAACGACCTTTCAGACTACGCTTGAAAAATATGTTTACACAGTTCTCGATTAAAATTTTGAAAACTGACCATACGAACATTCCGGAATGGCTTATATATGGTTGAGATTGTATAGCAGTGCTTCCCACATACTGTGCAACGCCTCCTCCGTTCAAATGTTTATCCCATGGAAGCGAGAGACAGACAATAAGTTTGACAGAATCAGTCGTACGGGCCGTAACTGTCGTTCGGAATACCCCGTGTTAACGTTTTCGAGGTAGCATAATCAGAAAACACATTGCAGCTGTCACGTTAATGATCTGGTAAGCGACGCTATGATTGGTCGGATGAAAGGTCGTTTCTGACGTGACCCGTAATGAGATGTTCTCAGATCTTTGTTCAGCGATAGCGAGAACTGTGATCTGATTTTAATTAGATTGACTACTACTACTGGCAGATGCCTTGTTTTCTAGTACAACATGTAGTGACTGTGGTTACACACACCATGTTCATTAATGTAGGTACAACATTAAGTGAACTTAATTAACGTAATGATGTAACCAATAGTACATCGGACTTCGTTAGTCCGGAGTCCTGACAATAAATATTTCCACACCACACAGGGGCATGCTTAAAGAACTACAATATATTTGCCCCGGTCACTGGATCAGTGTGCAAGTATACCACCCGAGCTGCCTGTACTATAACGTTACCCTCTAATCCTACCGGGTACCCATTCACTGCTGGGGGAACAAAGCATTTTCGAACAAAGTCACTTGCCTAAAGAGACACCACATGTGCTACATGTGCTTCAGTATGGGGCACGGTCGAATCCCTAGAAACTCTCAGGAGTCAAGCTGGAGTCAAGTCACCCATTTAACTATTCTCCGCGACCAACGTTGCTTTACTTCACCTGATTTGTGGCCTCATTCGTCACCACTCGCCTCTTTCCGTAACCAACAATATTCGGCTTGTCCCGGAATAACACGAGTTGGTCACGATTGTTGTGGCCTGTGATCTGTACCGCGTACCACCACTAAGCTACGAACGTCTACACATACCTGATGCATTGAATGGGTCACTACTACATTGCAATGAATGCTTAATCCGGAAACTTGATAATCCGGACGATTTCACTTTGAACAACACCGTCCGGATTAAAGAGATTTCACTGTATATATTACAAATCTAGCTCGACTAACACACAGGTGGTAATCACTGAGTATTGTAATTGTTAAACTTGTTAAGAAGACACATATATTACACTACTTTTCTCCAACTAATACACATGAAACTGCTATTATTAAATAATATATATGTAACTTTTCATGATAGCTTTAATTCTATGGACCGCATCCGTGGTCTAGTGGTAGAGCGTCCGCTCGGAGAGCGGAAGGTCCGGGGTTCGATTCCCGGCCGCGTCATACCAAAAGACGTTAAAAGATGGTACTTGTTGTTATCCTGTCTGGCGCTCGGCATAAAAGGGGCTTAAACTGGTCGGCTCGGAGTCAGTATACTGTGTCTGAGTGGGGTATTCATGTTAAACTGCGGCATGGTACACGTACATGCACGTCGCTATATAAGTGCAATAATCTTGGACGCGACGTTACACCTCACCTATTACTGTTGACTCATATTTAAGAATTGAGACCGTCTCCGTCGTGTAGTGGATTGAGCGGAAGGTCGCTTGTTTCACACACACACACACACACACACACACACACACACACACACACACACGTGCATGCACGTCGCTATATAAGTGCAATAATCTTGGACGCGACGTTAAACCCAATTTCACATTACCTTTAGTTCTATGCTTTGTAGAGTGTACAGTTATACGTTGCTCTTCCCAATAAAGAGAAACACAAAGTTGTCATCAAAGCAATGCGTGTGACACACACACTTAAGGCAATATGCAGATATAGTTACAACGTTTATCAAAAATATTTTCATTAATTAACATAAAGCACAAATCTAGAATGATTACAACTGTCTGAAATGTAGACTGTGTTGACATACTTGATGAATATACAAAGTGGAATACTTACCAAAGTTTCTTCGAATTAGAAGCACAAATGCGAGGGTAATTACAATAATTAAAACTAGAGAATTTGTTGAGGAAAAACGAATTCTGCGTGGCAAACGCATGGCGGTGTTGGTCGCTTCCGGCCTATGTTTTGAGGGCTAACACTGAATAAACTGTCCTTGTTTGATTTGGGTTCACACCTTGGAGCCTGCCCCGGATAGCCCCAGCCATTTCTCTATAGTCTGTTTCAGACACCACAGAACGACCTTAATCAAAATTCGGAAATATGAATAATTTAGTCGATGGAAGAAACAATGGCTGTTATTTTAAGATTTAAAAATCTGGTGCAAAATATCAAAAAAAGATATTACATACATTTCTGAGAGTCAACGTCAACACGTGATTGATAGAAACGTCTGTAAAATATTCACCTAAGTACGCTTGGTGCTTTCTTGTGTTGTTGATCCTGGTGCTCGTATTGCTGATAATGTTTACAAATTCTTGAACTGAGAGTTGTTTAACGCCGCATTCAGCAGTATGCCAGCTATATGACGGCGGTCTCTTAATAGACGAGTCATGATCAGACAAACGAGTGATTGAGGTCATGAGCATCTATTCACGCAATTTGGAAACTATCATATGTCATCAAACATGTCATAGAGCTTTACCACCCCTTTAGCTTTAGTCGCATTTAGCTTTAGTCGCCTCTTACGACATACATAGGTTGCCGGGAACTATATATCTATATATTTTATGTGAGGTAGCGTGGAGTTAAAATACGGCTTTGACGCCTCTCTGTTGTTTCAACTGTAGATCATGTCTAACGATTTAACAATTTTATTGACCTACCGTTGTGCGATGCAAACTTTAAGCTCATCTACGAATGTACTGGTTACAACGGTCAAATCACACAAACTGCAAATGTATAACGAATATACCGGCTAGTTCAAATGCAGCAGGGGCCACGGGTTGCACAGTCGTCTAAGGCGCCGCGATTCGTTGTGCAGAGTTGCGTCCCTTGGGCACGCCAGAAACCTATGATTGTGGGTTTGAATCCCGGTTCGCCCCAGTGGGCGGATACAGGGGGGGGGGGGGGGGGGGGGGGGGGGGGTGCGCATCCCCCTTTTTATTTCGAAAAAAATCTTTATTTCTGTATAAATTACCACCAAAGACAATAAATAGATCCTAACTGTGCACCATCACACCCCCCCCCCCCCCCCCCCCCCCCCATTGTTGATATAAATACTGTAGAATCAATAATGCAACTTTGGTGATCTCGTTTGACGTTTGAAGCCAGTAATGGTTGTTGTGTTTCTTCTTCACCTGACAGCCATTATTATAACCAAGGCTGTATTTTATGCGTTTCATTTTGGGTACCGACCTTAGTTCCTTTTGATTAACGCTGGTTAGCTAAGGTTGAATCTAATCAACCCTGGTTGCCAGAAATGTGGTAAATTTGGTTTAACCAGGTCAGTCAAATTTTACAAATCGAACCCACGTGCCCGTGAAGATCCGGGTCAGAACCGGTCATCAACAGCCAATGCCTGTCGACAGAGGCGACTAGTGAGTGAGTGAGTGAGTATGGTTTTACGCCGCTTTTAGCAATATTCCAGCAATATCGGCGGGGGACACCAGGAATGGGCTTGACACATTGTACCCACGTAGGGAATCGAAACCGGGTCTTCGGTGTGACGAGCGAATGCTTTAACCACTAGGCTACCCAACCGCCCAAAGAGGCGAATAACGGGATCGGATGGTCAGGCTGGCTGACTTGGTTGATGCATGTCATCGTAAGCCAATTACATAGATCGATGTTCATGATGTCAATCAATGGACTGTCTGGTCCAGACTCGATTATTTACAGACCGCCGTCATACAGCTGGAATATTGCTGAGTGCGGCGTTAAACAACAAACAAACACGTCACTCTGGGCTAACTCCCCAATCAAGCTGACACGTCATCATGTAACTGAAATGCTGTTCAAAGCGGAATCGAACCTGTCATGCTGTCACTCACCTAAACACTGAAAGAACGAGTTTTCTATCTGAAATTGTTATCAGTTTGTGGCAACCCACGTCCGCCGGGTCAATTGCCGCGCCAACTTCGCCCACACAGGAAGATAGAGAGTCATGTAGATTTCGTCTGACCTGGAAACGCTAACCTCATTCAAGCAATGTCATTATTTTTTTGTGTGTTTCAACAAGCTAAGAGTTAAACCTTGGATCAGAGAAAGAAAAATACTCCCCCTGTGGCCAATCGTTCCATTTTGCTAAACTCCGGTTGTAAAGGCGTATAATCAGAACTGGGCTAAGGAATTAACTTTTTTACGTTTTGTTTCATTTTTCGACCTGAAATAAACGGATGATGTAAAACAGTTAACATTTTACGCATTAAACTTCCCACGACAGGACCAGACAAACCAGCGGTTGAGAGCATGTCGAGGTTTGTTTGTTTGTTTGTTAACGCCGCACTCAGCAATACTTCGGCTATATGATGGTTGTCTTTAAATAATGGAGTCTGGACCAGACAATTCAGTGATTGACATCATGAGTATCGATCTACGCAATTGGGATACGATGACATGCATCAACCAAGTCACCGGGCCTGACCACCCGATCTCGGTCGCCTCTTACGGCAAGCATGGGTTGCTGATGACCTATTCCTACCCGGATCTTCAAGGGACGCAAGTTGTGGTACGGTCATATACAACAAAACCGGGTCACACATACACTGCAACCAGGAAATCACTGTTTAATCGGCACGTAGTCTCCATGGAGTAAACGGGGTTTTTTTTCTTTGAATATAAAGTAAAGACTTGAAAAGTGGATTTGACCAAAAGATTACAAACGTTATCAAAACGTTACTAGGCTGAAAACAGTCGCCAAAACACTGCAAACGTTAGCTCCAAAACACAACTATGATACCCGAAACAAATACATCTTCAACGAATATCTATTTCTTGTCTGTTTCATTTGTAGCCACCATCAAACATATTTGTATACTTTCCTTTGCTTGGCAGTTTACTAAACGTGATTTTCTAGCTGTCTTCATCATTGATTCCTCGTCTGTCCATGGGGACACGTCCCCTCTCACTGTGTGACCAGACGAGACATAGTCTACATGGCACCATACCTGCACGCGGCGGAAACTGAGAATCGGGTGGCCAAAATGGCTGTTAAGAATGGTTTATACAAGGATTGGGCATCCTGGAAGCCCAGTTTGCACCTGTGACCTAACTATGTCCTTTTTGTTTGTTTGATGTTTAACGCCGCACACAGCAATATTCCAGCTATATGACGGCGGTCTGTATCAGAGTCTGGACCAGACAACCCAGTGATTGACATCATGAGCATCGATACACGCCATTGGGATACGATGACATGCATCAACCAAGTCAGCGAGCCTGACCACCCGATCCCGTTAGTCGCCTCTGGCGACAAGTATAGTCGCCTCACTCGGTAACTGTGTCCTTGTGCAGACGTCGCACGACGACTATGATTGTAACATACCCCGTGCAGCCCGTGGCTCTTCCTGCTTGTCTGCAAAACTGTCCCATGACAGATGCGTTGAGTCAGCCCACCCCCTGGGGCCACGCGCTTCACGAGCAATGACGTAATGATATAGAGACCGTTCGTGAAGCTGTCAAACGAGGACAAAGACGAGACTGCATGTGATAAGTGTCTTCTTCGTTCACTTAATACTTAATACTTTACAATGGGATGTCAAACGTAATCAGTCATCGATCCGTCAGTGATCTGTTCTATGGGTCACAATAACCCGGAGTTCGTTTTTACCCCCAACAGAATCGTCCTCGGTGTTCGACAATGTTTAGAAGCTTAGTAACATATGGCTTACATTTTAAGAACATTAGCGTGGAAATACATAATATATGTTTTTTGTTTATTTTGGAGAATTACAAATAAACATATCCGCATACTGTGATTGAAAGTCTGGAAAAGAGTGTCCATGTCTAAAGATGTGCCTTCTCTGTCTCTGTGTGTGTCTGTGTATGAGTATGTGTTTAGATACGTCTGTAGCTACGTCGATCTTTTCTGTTCCTTTTGGTGTAAGCATATGTTGTGCTGCGTATATGTATACAGTTCTATCTTTGTGTTCCGCCGGAGAGCGGTAGGTTGGTTTTGTGTGGGTCAAGCATCTATGATTGTGGCTTCTGTTTCTGTCTTCGACTAAGGCGCCGCGATTTGCTGTGCAGAGTCGCGTCCCTTGGGCACGCCAGATACCTATGATTGTGGGTTCGAATCCCGGTTCGACCCGATTATGTTTCTAGGTTTGTCAGCACCATACCCGTGCTCGTGGGTTTCACCGAAGTGGTAAACGTCTGAGACCTGCATCACTTCGGGCTTTCCTCCCACATTAAGCTGACACGCTGTGATATAACTGGAATACTGTTAAAAGCGGCGTTAAACCCAACTCACTCACTCACTCACTCTGTTTCTGTCTGTGTCTGCATTTTATCTGTGTTGTGTGAGTTATACATCTGTACCTGAGTGTGTCGCCTATCTTCATCTGTGTGATGTGAGTTATGCATCTTTGTTTGCCCCCTCTTTCTGCGATAAACCGGATTGCTGGAATATTAATGTTATTGTAGCTAGCATGAAGATATTATTCCCAGTCAATAAACAATGGCTCACGGCGATTACACGTCGTTTTGTCACACTGCATCGTTGGACAAAAACGGATGCCTTCCACAGACAGTACACCTGTAGTACAAATGTCATTCAGACAGTCAGCGTTTAGAACAACCAGCTGTCGCCACGCTGCGCTTCGTTATCATTTCACGCATCTATTTCAGCAAGCTTGTGTGTATTTGAAATAGACACGTTTGCCTGCATACCAATCGAGTAATAATATCAGAATTGTTATACCTGTAAAAGTTAAGTATTGCTGTACTGATATTGCATAAGATATTGCGTTATACCTTTGGTTTAGTCATTTGTAAGTGATGGTAAATAAATATAGCATGGATAAATAGTGCTATTTCGAGTCTGTTATTAATGTAACGGCAATCTTCCGTAATAAAATCTGAATGTGCCATTTGCTGAAATTATATGTTTTAGCATTTGGCTGTAATTTAATACGTTGATAGTGTTTCATATATAGTTAGTTTCATATGAAAAAAAGCTTACGTCCGTTTGATTAAATGCCAACCGTATATGAGTACATTTTACCTATATCTTGAATAGTAATAGTAATGATAATAATAATAAATTTGTTTATCGTTGTTGTTATTATTATTATTATTATTATTATTATTATTATTATTATTATTATCTGCTTATCAATTTATTATTCATCATTTCATTAAGTTGTATTTCACGTATTTAAACATTTTACGTATATGCCAAATATAATTTTTAACCTTAATAAAATAAAGCACCATTCTTTTAACAGCAATTGATTGTAAGCTATAAGATATCAATACATTTTATTTTTTTAAATTAAAAGCGCTAAAGGGTGAATATTGACTCATAAACACATATTCATGATAAGGTTGGAATCGTACAATAGACTGCTTTTAGCAGGCATTTCGATTATGTTTAATGATACCCAATAAATTTTATTACTCCACTTTGACAACAATATAATTATACATAATAAACGTCTTATATCTTAACCTTACCCGAGGTCATGACACGTCAATTGGGGTTAATTACTTTACCGGTATAAGGTAGCGTGTGGTCTTGTTTACTTGAGCTGCCACATGGCTTGTTTCTATAAATAGCTTCAGCAGTAGCCAATCACATTGTGTTTCGTTGCTTACTGGGAACTTCCGGTTTGCTTGAGCAGACGCACTCACACGCCACGTTGAAACTTCCAAATTTACGCGAGTGCTGGGGTGGTATTTATCTCGTCCTGTGCCGATCAGTCGTCAGTATTTGCTCCAAAGATGTCACCTGCTTCGTATCTCACCCCGGCGCTTCTTGCTCTTGTCCATGTTTTAGTATGCTTCGCTGATGAACTCAAAGTTGATACCACTTTTAAACCGGATGAATGCGAAAGACTGTCGAAGAAATATGACCGACTCAAAATGCACTACACTGGAACTTTAGCTTCGGACGGTTCAAAGTTTGATTCAAGGTGAGATTGTAGCATATGGTAGTCGTTGACACAAGTGAAAAACGTGTTTTAGCTGTATATGTGTTGCAAACTTGTTAAGATATGTGCATTTTAGAATTCGATTTCATATTCAGAATACTGAAATGTTTGATAAAGGGGCGTGGGTTATGAGTTATTCAAGTGCTCGGGGTGATAACTTGTCCTGTGGAGGCGCATGCAGGTCAGTCATGAGGTCAAATATGGTGTCGACTTGCCGGTAATTTTCTCATGTAGGCTTCTCCGATTAAGAGAATGGGTCGTTTATTTAAATGACATGTTTCATCAAATATGTGCACACAGGTAGACCAAATCTATGTAACGGAACAATCAAATCACTGCAACAGCTGGTACTTCAATAAATATTGAAACAGAATAACATTCAGATTAGTTATGTTTGATTTTCTATACATAATATCATTTTGTAGGCACATTATTCCAGCTGTATTCATTATTTATATATTACTCTTGATATTGTGTTGAATTAGCAGCTGATTATAAGGTAATCATGGATCATACCCTGTAAGATGTGACATTGCAAAAACAATATGTCTACCATACTTTATGGAAAAACTCCTGTGACATTTGAATACAGCTAGTTATGCAGCTGAAAGGTGTGTTTAAAATCAGGTACATCATATATTGTCTTTGAAGATTTAATAAATATATATCTTTCATGTTGTTTCTGGCGTTTAGCAGCCAGAAAGGAGTGGGGGAGACGCAGGGTTCACAACTGAATTATTTGCTTTCACAACGGATGGGATAACTTTATTTTGTCTTGATTCATACATCCTTCAATAAACCATACCAGACAGTATTTCCTGCCAAGAGTAAATGGCTTATTTACTTGGAAAATATTTTTCATTGACTTATGATGGGGGATTGATCCAGCTAACTTTTGCTGGATATTGGATGGGAGAATTGCTTTTTCCTTAACTCCAAATAGAGAAATTATCTGTCTCAAAAATGTTTAGAAATATTTGTGTATGGAGGATAATGTTGTCTTTGGAAATAATGAGATTGTGTCCACCTTTCAATGATCAATCATGGTGGGTTTATTCTTCTTTTTGTGTAAAAGGTTTTGATTTGAAATTTGAAGAATCTTATTCCTTGAATTAAAATACTTGATTTGTTGCAAAGGGTTGATGAATGTGTTTGTAAGTATTTACAGATCAAAGGAATGATTGAACATGTTAGATAAATATTTATTTCATATCAAAATTATTTTTTCTCCAAAAATGTTCATATCGATTATGGACACTTATGTAAATTCATTTTTTTAACTAAATCTCTGCTTATCACAGTGTGACACATTTCAGAAATAGTAAAACATTCTTTTATCATGTTTATGCTCGAGTAGATTTCTGGATTTAATTCTGCCCTGAAGCATACCGCAGAGTGACACTAGCCTGACAATACAGCATTCTTGCAGCACACATTGTTTGTAGGGGAGTTAACAGAGAAACTGAGTAAACACCCGCTAAGGTCACCAATGTCAGCATTGACATCCAGAATAGTCTTTGCCAGTGCCTGCTTTGACAAGACAAATGTAGTGATGGGAATTAATGCCACTGATCAATATCACAGTGGAGATTTGAAGGCAAGCTAGGTCCCCAATACCATAGCTTTTAGTAAGACCTGATTGGCGAGGATCAGGTGGTTATAATTTGAACTTTGGCTGATTGTGTGTCAGTGTATCCCAGCAGCATGTATTGTTGCTCATACTATCAAACACTGCCGTTAGTCAGATAGGATTATTAACAGGCCACTGTAATACAGCTGAATGTTGCTGGCTGGTGTTATAAACACTTACTGATCAATACGAAATAAAACATTCTAACCTCAAATCCTGTCACAAACTAGATGTAATTAACCTGTTATTGTTTAACTTGACAAACTTCTGACACAAACTGCTGATATTTGTTTAAACCCTGATAATTTACTCAATTAAGACCACATTCTTAAGTTTCTCTGTATTATTATCAAGTGTGGCTATGAGTCTTAGCCCCATCATGACCATATGGTTCAGTTTTTAATTATTTTGGTCATTAGCAAAAATAATAATTAAAATGTTAAAACAGTTCGTTTCTTCTGACTGCCATCAAGATTGATTCAATTTCTTTTGCATGTTAAAAGGATATTCTTATAAATAGCAGCAGCTGTCTTGATATTGTTCAATTATGTCCGTAACGATAAATGATAATTTCTTAGCAACACATCTGTCACTGGTACAATATGATGATAAATCAGACTATTTCAGGAAATATTTGGCATTCTGGGCTAGAATCAGAGGAAATGTGTCATCATATTCACCTCCTGTGAATTCTCTGGCTGAAATAGAAACAATCAGACTTGCCCAGACAATTCTATCTCAGGAACTGATGAATGCTGTGAACGTGACGATTTGCAGGGGTTTATTTTAGACACAGCCCAAGGGTATTGTTGCCTTGATGTTTCAAGCATGTCAAGATTAGGGGCCCTCAGCAATATTTAACAAATAGCAAAGATGGAAATTAATCCGAAAATGTACTGGACCAAAATGTGTTTTGTATACACTTAACTCATATGGTAAACTTGGTATGCCACTGTTCTGTGATGTAGAAATTGGCATGAATATAATTTGTGAATGAAAGGTGTTTAATCTAGAGAAAATATATATATTTTAAATTGAAGTAGACTAGACTCCCAACTTAAAGCAATCTAGTGGTATGCTTCCAAGCTCTTGTCTGAATAATGATAGCATATAGGAAAACTACCAAACCTAACAAGTTTCATTCCCCTAAAGCATGTATTTAACATAGGAAGATAGATTTGGGTTAGTCTGTCTCCCAGATCCTAGAGAATAAATAAGAAACTTAATCCAAATCAAGTCTAGAATGATTTTGCAAGTCTAGATTACCTCAGCATTGTTCTGGGCTCCATTTGGTTTTTATTTTTTATTTTGGAGATATTTATTTTTGAATAAGATAACTTTATTTAGAGGACTACGGTAAATGTTAATATATATTTTTGGTGAGTGCCAAATATTTTCCTTGTGTTAGAAATTTTCAGGGGCTATGTGAATCTCAGTATGTTAATCTAGGGAACCCAAATGTTTTATTTTTAACATAATGATTGTCATGGCCGTGCACTTGTAGTAGTGGCCTGCATTTATCTGAAGTATGTCAATATCATTTTGGGTTAAGATGATTATATGGTTGAGGGAGTCACATCATGATATACATAACAGTGACATATTCGACATGAAACAATCATATATACCACAAGTAGCATATATATCTGGACAGTGCTCATTTGTCAGTTAATTCATGCCCTTTCTGAACTGACAGCTACAGAGTTAACATACTGGTTCAAAGGGCAGATGAGTGTCAAGCTAAGTTTATGGCATTTTGTCAGAACATTCATATTTGTTGTCCTGAATCTGTCAGCTCTCCATGAAATAAATCAGGTCTCACTGTTTCCCTGTCTATCAGTGCAGGGAAACAACTCATTTTAAGGGCATTTGTCTCCTACTCATTCGTACACAGATGCATCGAGGTTGAGTTACCTGTATTTGTCAAATCCCTACCAGCGACCCCTATATGCCTGATTTTAACATAATAGGGTTCACACAAGGATCCCTTGAGGTTTAGTATTCCGCACATTGATCAATATTCAAGTTGGAACTGACTACAATTTACAACTTTACAACAGTTCCTCTTGAATCAGGGACCGAATTAAGGAACTTGATTTAACTTGCACCAGCTGCATATTGACATGAAATCCCAGATCCACTAGGCAAAACCATGTTGCACCTTGTCTCTAATTTTTTAAAGATGAAACATAGAAAGGTCTGCTGCCAGTGTCACATAAATTAATAACATATTGCTTTAAAACATAATAGAAACATGAACCCCAAGAAAGCGTGACAAATTACATGCAACAATTGAATGTGTTTAAAGATCGTTGTTGTGTGGAAAAGTAAGAGTAAGAGACACAAATTGTGAATTCTTTTTACATGGACTTGGTGCATGTTGACATTAATATTAGGTTGCATTTTTCAATAATAGATTGCACTGGTGCATGTTTTATATACCGAATTCGAGCCCCTGAAGGCAAAGGATTATGTTACCCATTTCAGCACTTTCTTCTAAACTGATTCATTATTCTTAGTGTAACAAAAACATATGTTACTCATCAGGTGTGGACAGGTATTAAATGTTCAGACAATTTTTCATGATATTCTTGTGAAAAATATTTGGTATCTGCATTACAAGTATAGAATTTGATATCAAGGTACAGATTAGAAGTGGCTGTGATTCTTAACATGAGGTGAGAGTCCTTCACCTGGGTTGAAGCCCAATGTTGGTGTCCCCTTTGTGATGGGCTTCTCTATTGGTTAAAGTGGATTTCCTGTTCATTCTAACAAGGAATTAAGCTAAATACTCAAGCATTCAGTTTGTATGTCTCTTGCATTTATTCTTGTTATTATATCTGTATATTCTCTCTCTGTTTCAGCCATGACCGCAGTGAGCCTTTCGAGTTCCAGATCGGTGTGGGTCAGGTGATCAAGGGCTGGGATGAGGGTCTAGTGGACATGTGTGTAGGGGAGAAGAGGACACTCACAATCCCATCCGATCTTGGATATGGTGAAACAGGCTCAGGTGAGAAACACATCCCAAACTGTGCTTGAATTTGCCGGAGTGTTGAGTCATTGACCAATGAAAGAAACAGATGATCATATCCCCGTTTCTGAATACCTGTCCATGGAGTTTCAGTTTGTGACCTGGCTGATTGGGGGTCATCGTGACCTGGCTGATTGGGGGTCATCGGGACCTGGTTGATTGGGGGGTCATCGTGACCTGGTGGCTTTGATCATGGCTCATTCAATCTACCACTGGTTTGCCAGTCACATCCCCACCACAATTATTCACAGGCAATATTCACTCACTAACTTTTACCATCAATGTAATATTTTTGGACTGAAAGATGAAGAGTTCATAACTTTTTTACATTGTTTTCGTCAGTTATGAAAAACACAAAACTCTGATTTTTGTCTCATTTAATGTTTTCAATCTTTAGGTGATAAGATTCCTCCCGGAGCAACCCTGAAGTTTGATGTTGAGATGGTTGATATTCAAGATGGCCAGGCCCCTCCTAATGTCTTCAAGCAGATTGATATCGATGGTGACAACAAGCTGACACAGGATGAGGTATGTTAAGGCTGCTTCAAGGATCAGATAGAATAGAGGCAGTGTAAGAACTGTCAAATCAAACTTGGAATTCACAACCCCAGTGTAACACAATCAATTCATCATAAACACCTTAATGACTGGTAAATTATTATGGTATTAATCATAAGAACACAAACTTGGTGTTAGAAGTGTCCAAGCTTTTCAAAGTACTGGATCTATTTTGTTTGCTATAAATCTGACATTGACAAGATACTTATGCCCAGCACCAATACATGTACAAGATGAATAAAGTGAGGATCTGATGTTTCTGACCTGACTTTGTGTCATTAACACTCATTATCAGGGGTTGATTTAGCTGCTAGCCCATTGGCTTGTCACCAATTAATTTTACGAAGGGTTTGGGGGCGATCGGGTAGTCTTTTGGTTCAAGTGTTCACTCGTCATGCAGAAGACCCGGGTTCGATTCCCTACATGGGTACAATGTGTGAAGCCCATTTCTGGTTTCCCCCGCCGTGATATTGCTGGAATATTGCTAAAAACGGCGTAAAACCATACTCACTCACTCACTACAAAGGGTTTGCTGAAATGTAAAGTAGATGGCCCTTCTGGCTAGTCAAAATTTCACCCCTTCTTCGTGTATTTTTAATTTTTTTAATTGGATCATCTCGGTAGAAAGACATCCCCCGCCTATATGTTGATGTTTCCAACGACTTTTTTTTCTCTCATAAATCGCCATGAAAAGAGGCAAGTGGAAGCCAAGATTTAATCTCAGAGTGCAGGAAAAAACGCTTTAGGGGTTAGGGGTTCTCAAATTTAGTTGTAGGCGAGTTAGTTTGGAGAAGGGCCAGTAACTTTTAAAAGGAGCAAACCCTGCTGGCTACGTATATATTTGTTGTTAAATCTACCCCGAATGATGTCATAATTACAGGTTTGCCAAAGTCACATTCACTTAAGCGCAAACCTGCTGAATTTGTGCTGTAATATTGACTCAGACAACAGACCCAGTCCATCGCATGCTAAAAAAAAGTCTCTTGGTTGAAATATCATTTAAAAAGTAGTAGGATTATTGGGACATGACTTATTTGACTTCTTCCTCTCTCAGGTGTCTAGCTTTATCAAGGACCAGATGAAGGATTCTGGAGCACCGTCAGAAGATGACGTGGCTCACAACAACATGGTCACCGAAATTTTCAGTCATGAAGACAAGGACAAAGATGGATATATTTCTCATGATGAATTTAGCGGACCCAAACATGACGAGTTATAAGCTTTTAGTGCCTTAGGACAGTTTTAATCAATCTTAAATTGTCTCAGTTTGTTGAAATCAGGTTCTTACTGTCAGCTTTGTTTCAAACAGGACAACTGTTGTGTTGAAGATGTTATGTGGTATTAGGTGTCTCTTAGTCATGTAAAAATGAGAGATAGAAATTTTACTAATGTCAATGTCACTGAATGATAAATAGTTCATTTATCTAGTTTGGATATTTCATTTTGAAATGGAAATTATCAGAAAGAGCAACATTTTTCTTTTCTTAAACTTTCATTTATTTGCAAATTTCATTGCTTTATCATATTTGTCATACAAAAGCAAAAGCTTTGACTATTTTTGTAAATATGTCATAAACCATATTTTAGTTCTCAATTTGTCATCAGTTCTATTTAAGACTCCAACAAGAAGTCTCGTTTGTTAAGAATACTCAAGACCAAATATTTTTAAAGAATACAAATCAAAACAGGCAACACTGTATATAACATCACTTCATTGAACGATCACTCACCTTAAGCAACTGTCATCATGTCACTGTTACAGTTGGAGAATGGCAACCAGAGTATTTTCATTTCATCTAGTCAGTTCTTTAACATTCTTAAATACTTTTCAAATACACCACCTACTTTCTTTCAGCTTTTGATAGGATCAGTGATTCAGAGGTCAGTATGTAATAGGTCCATGCTATTTGCCCTGTTTGGTGATCATGTTTACAAAATTGGTAATGTTTCTTAATACAGACATTCCATTCAGTGTTTGTATACATATTTATCAAAATTGCTTTCTGTGTAATTGATTTGTGAAAATCTCAATCAATGATGAGAAATAGCTGTGCAATAGATATCAAAACTTGAGTTTGATGCAGAAAAGCAAATTGCTCATTGTAACGAGATCGATGTGTGCCTGTTTCCGTCTACATATCAAAGGCCAGGAGATTCATTTGGCTATCTGTTGTGTATGCAACATGGTTGTGTTTGAAATTATTTATTTTATGTCTTCCAATCTTTGTCAAAATACATGTATTTGTAAGTTATGTATCCGACAATAAAATGCTACAAATTATTATCCTCTTTGTTATTGAGATATTATTTGGATATTATTCTGAGAAATTCATCAGTACAAATGTTTTATTGAATGTTTTGTACTATGGATTGTGTTGGATTTATCCTATCCCACTTTGAACAATATTTCACAGTATGTGGGCACGATGTAGGAAAACTGAAGTAAGACATTTACCTCTTTGGTGAAACTATCTAGCACAGGTATGGTGCTCACAAACCAAGGATCATAATTGGGGCGATTCTCAGAATCAAACCCACAATCATAGGAATTTGTCACCCCTAAGGCGACAATTTTTTTATTTCTTGGTTTACGGATGCGCCGCTCTTTCAAAGTCCAAATGTTAAAAAAAAATAAAAATGAAAATTACCCTTTTTTTTATTACCGCCGATCTTTTCGACAAAAAGTTCAAACAAAAGAAAGATTTCATTCCCTCGTCGAGCGTAAAGCAAAGGGAAGTCACTTAGATATTTCTTGCTGGGATCCTTCTCTAATACCATCAAAGCTTGTCAACGCAAAGCGCAGTGGTGACCAGTTTAACTAATTCAACACTGTTGGCCGTTCAAAGCCACAAGTCACACCGTATGGCAAGCCGTTTTCACATTTATTATGGAATTACAGATATCTTCAATTGTTTTAAAGATATCGGTATTTTATTTAAAGATATCAATAATGTTTTTAAGATATCAAAAAATAATTAAAGATATCTTAAATTCTTTTCTGATATCCATAATACAATTACTGATATCTTAAAATGTTACGGTGATATCAACAAATTAGTTTGTGATATCTCTAAATGTATTTTAAGATATCATTAAACAATTACCATCCTACAATACATAAATATATTAGAAATAAATTCAAGATATCTTAAATTCAATTCAAGATATCTTGAAATAAGTTATACATATCCACAAATGCATTACAGATATCTTTAATTCAATTAGAGATATCTTTAATTCAATTAGAGATATCTTTAATTCAATTCAAGATATCATGAATTCTGACCGTTACTGATATCAAACATCCAATTAAAGATATCATTAATACTTTTGATGATATCTTTATATCAATTATTAATATCAGTTATCTAATTTAAGTAACATTATTAATGTAACATCTTTAATGGCAATAATTGAAGATATCAATAATTAATTATTGATATCTGTATTTAGTTTCAAGATATCAGGAATTGAATTAATGACATCATAACAGAACATGACATTTTGATGTCTTTAAATCATATTTTGATATCAATAATCGAATTTAAGATATCAGCAATTCTTTTCAAGATATCTTCAATTCCATTCAAGATATCTTCAATTCATTTCAAGATATCGTTAAAACAATTGAAGATATCTTAAATTTTATTGCAGATATCTACAATTATCTGCATTTAAGATATCTTCAATTCCATGCCAGATATCTTCAATTCCATTCAAGATATCTTCAATTCATTTCAAGATATCTTTAAAACAATTGAAGATATCTGTAATTCCGTAATAAATGTGAAAACGGCTTGCCATACGGTAGACCGTCCAAGCCACGTCAAAATAGTTTATAATTATATTAACCTACTTGTCATATCATTCATTTATTAAATCTATCACATTTCACAATGTCTGAAATACGTATTCCATTTGATTTTATCATTTTTTTATCTATAGATTAAAAATATATTCACTTGACACTATTTCCCGCAATGTTATTGAAAATAAAATTCTCGGACACACTTCGACAACGGGTCCTCATCGAACATGTCAAATAGCAAAATAAAGACGTTTCACGCGCTGAAACGTATTTATTTACAAAGTAATAAAATCATCAAAAATATATCTATAAAAGTTGCCAAACTGACATCTTAGTTATTATTTCCAACTTTTCATGCGATCGCATATCGTAAGTCAAATGACATCTCGGCTTTCGTCGCCTCGATTTCTCGGCTGGGACACGATGTCTTAATGCCAAAATATATGCATAAGAAATCTTTGTCACAGCTCGAAACCTAGCTCTATGCATCCATAAAGTTCCATATTTTTAATATAGATCGCGATTTCATGCTAAAACGTTCAGAATAACATGATTTAACCCAAACCTTTCGCCAAAATCTGAAAATTATCGTTGCTGTAATTTGATTAGCTGCCTTAGGTCACGTGCTTAAATTTGACCAATCACGGACCTTGTAGCAGATTTTGTCGGTGAAACAATATAAGTTTTTTTAATGTATACTGACATGGCAGGACGTATGTGTTATTCATACGAAGCTTTGAAAACCGAGGTATTTCCTCAAGTTAGTGAGCGGACAGCCACTTTCATCGGGAAATGGGTGATGACAGATATTATTTGTAATTCTTTTTAAAATAATGTTCCAACAACGTAAACAAATGAAAATTAAAAAGAAATAGGTAAGTGGATTTTATGAATTCTTATATTTGCCGAAAAAATCGTTAGATTTGCGCTTAATTTGGACGTTATGAATGTTTTAGCTTACATTATTATTTATTTAAAACGAACTTTATGTAGTTGTTCATGAATTATTTAAATAATGAAATACACATAACTTTCATATTTATAAACAATAGGATTAATTAGACCTTTCAAATAGTGTATGGCCAAACATGTAGTAGCAAAGATGTTAATTTCAGCAGATAATTCTTGATAAATGTTGGTTTCATCTATCACACAACAGTCTCTGGGAACTTGGTGTCACAGCAGTAATCTTCTGGTTGGCTGGTGTTGAAAGAGTTAAACGTTGCCCATGCTGCCAAAATAGCAGCGTCTTTCATGCATTTCCACCCATGACATGAATATTGTTATGTTGCCATCCTTGCACAAGCTGAGTGCCAGGGATATAATAAAATGTTCTTGAAAAATTGAGTTATTTTACTTTTATTACGCCAGGATATTTTTTTTCATACCTACCTAACTTTTTAGGACAAAATTCAGGTAAAAAAAATGTGAGAGGCTTTTTTTTTTTTTTTTTTTAATTGGCCTGCCTCACTTTTGAAATGAGTTTGAAATCCGTAAACCAAGAAATAAAAAAAGTGTCGCCTAAAGGACAGCAAATGTATGTTAAGAGAATAACCTAAACAAGCTGTCTATAATTATGGATTATCTGTTAATAGTACCCGAAATTAATGCTTATAAATATTGAGCATTGACTTTACACAGATAATCTGTAACGTACTAAGCGGGAAGTATGTTATAAGGTATAGATCTACCAGTATTCCATGGTTTCTTTTCTTCAAAGAAACAGCTACCAAGGTCTAGTGGATAGTGTCTGCCCAGAGATCAGAAAGGTTGGTGGTTCGATCCCCTGTCATCAAAGATAGTACTTGTTATCTTGCCTAGCGCTCAGCATTAAGTGGATAAAAACAAGGAATGATTGCTTCAGAGTCAGTATACTCCGTCTGAGTGGGGTATCAATGTTAAACAGGAGCATGGTATCTGTGCTTGTCGTAAGAGGCGACTAACGGGATCGGGTGGTCAGGCTCGCTGATTTGCTTGATGCATGTCATCATATCCCAATTGCGTGGAACAATGCTCATGATGTCAATAACTGGATTGTCGGATCCAGACTCGATTATTTACAGACCGCTGTCATATAGCTGGAATATTGCAGAGTGCGGCGTTAATAAACAAACAAAACAGTGCATTGAAATCACTTTGCTAAATGCTATTTCACAAATTAAACAATGTAACAACCATCTTAAACCACAATAGCATCAATCCATCAGGGTGACCTGTATTGTCGGCCCATCATGCCATCAGGGTGACATGTATTGTCGGCCCATCATGCCATCAGGGTGACCTGTATTGTCGGCCCATCATGCCATCAGGGTGACCTGTATTGTCGGCCCATCAGGGTGACATGTATTGTCGGCCCATCATGCCATCAGGGTGATATGTATTGTCGGCCCATCATGTGATCAGGGTGACCTGTATTGTCAGCCCATCATGCCATCAGGGTGACCTGTATTGATGGCCCATCATGCCATCAGGGTGACATGTATTGACGGCCCATCATGTCATCAGGGTGACCAGTACTGTCAGCCCTTCATGCCATCAGGGTGTCATGTATTGTTGGCCCATCATGCCATCAGGGTGACATGTATTGTTGGCCCATCATGCCATCAGGGTGACATGTATTGTTGGCCCATCATGCCATCAGGGTGACATGTATTGACGGCCCATCATGTCATCAGGGTGACCTGTACTGTCAGCCCTTCATGCCATCAAGGTGACATGTATTGTCGGCCCATCATGCCATCAGGGTGACATGTATTGTTGGCCCATCATGCCATCAGGGTGACATGTATTGTTGGCCCATCATGCCATCAGGGTGACCTCTATTGTTGGCCCATCATGCCATCAGGGTGAAATGTATTGACGGCCCATCATGTCATCAGGGTGACCAGTACTGTCAGCCCTTCATGCCATCAGGGTGACATGTATTGTCGGCCCATCATGCCATCAGGGTGACATGTATTGACGGCCCATCAGGGTGACCTGTATTGTCGACCAATCATGTCATCAGGGTGACCAGTACTGTCAGCCCATCAGGGTGACCTGTATTGTCGGCCCATCATGCCATCAGGGTGACCTGTTTTGTCGGCCCATCATGCCATCAGGGTGACCTTTATTGATGGCCCATCAGGGTAACCTGTATTGTCCACCCATCATGTCATCAGGGTTACCAGTACTGTCTGCCCATAACGGCATCAGGATGACCAGTACTGTCGGCCCATCATGCCATCAGGGTGACCTGTATTGACGTCCCATCATGCCATCAGGGTGACCTGTATTGTCGGCCCATCATGCCATCAGGGTGACCTGTATTTACGGCCCATCAGGGTGACCTGTATTGTCGACCCATCATGTCATCAGGGTTACTAGTACTGTCTGCCCATAATGGCATCAGGGTGACCAGTACTGTCGGCCCATCATGCCATCAGGGTGACCTGTATTGTCGGCCCATCATGCCATCAGGGTGACATGTATTA